CGCCCGGATTCAGAGGGACTGGGAGGGAGGGGACGGAAATAAATACCTTTGACTTTGTGGCTAAGGTTAACGGGAGCTGCCACCCCGGGGCGACTTGGGCATTGAGCTCCCCGGCCCCGCCAGTCCCGGGGCAGGCGGGGCGGGCACGCGCCCCTGATTGGCTGGCGGGCCTGGCCGTCCCCGGGGCCTCCCCGCCACCTAATTGGCTGCACCTCTCAGATGACCAGCTCAGCCCTATCGGAGAAGTCTGCGGGGCGGCTCCTTTGTTCTCCGGAGCCAATGGCCTGCGTGGGCGGGCTGACCTCGCCTCCCGAGGGGCCAGTCGCGGCCCCGCCAGGCATTAAAGCGTTGGCCGTGGGGCGCTGGGCCCGGTCTCCCAGGAGAGGAGGGGCGGGAGCAAGTCCGAAGAGCTGGTGACCCGACGGCGCGGCAGCACCGTCTCCTTCTCTCCGTGGAGCTCTCCCTCCCCGTCCAGGCCGCGCAGACGCGCGCTCTGAAACCGATCCAGTCGCTCGGCTACTCTCCGTCCGACGCCTGCGACGCGCCCGCACCGCCCTTGGTGCCGGGATCCGGGGGAACAAGACGCACGAACCCTGATCCGACGATCACACTCGAGTGTGCATGTAACATGGTTGTGGCACTTGGCACTACGGCACACCAGGTGTTAAGAGTGAGATGTGCGTGTCTCGTGCGACGGGAGAGAAATCGCCCTCCGCACTCACGCGGCCCTAGGCACGTAGTAGCCGCGTGATAAATGAACCTGGGGTCTCCCGGAGAGACTTAGACATCATTAAATCCAACCCCTCCCTTTTTGTTGAGGAAAGTGCGACCAACGTTCCTAGGACGAGTGTTACTGCTGATTTAGAGGCAGGGTCCAGATGGCCAAGGAGAGTTTTCTGTTCCCAGAGACCGTCAGGAAAGAGAATTTTCACATCTACTCACCCAGATCGGAAAGAAATGCTCCTTTATGTCAATAAAATTCCTCACACTGCTACCTCAAAGGGGGCCGGCCAGCCAGGGCAACTCCCACTGGCAGATTCTCTCCGGAGCTGCCCAGAAACCGCCTTTGGGACAGGAGGTTGATATCAAGAGAAGCTGGCCTCACTCTGAGACTTGCTACAAACCTTACTGTTAAGCCTATGGACCTTATTCTAATCGGTCAGCAGCTGCCTACTAAGCGTTTGCCATGGGCCCAGCTGCCGTTAAGCCTCATAACACAACAGAAACGGGGGACCCGATTCTATCCGTTTTGCCACAATCTTCTTGTGCAGTTTTTACAAAAGATACTTTCTGTCCCTGGACTTTGACTTATTCATCTGTAAGAGTTAATTTTCTAGTTACAGTCGGCCTTCCGTATCCACAGGTTCCACATCTGTGATTTCAATCAACAGCAGACTGAAAATATTCCGGGGGGGGGGGGAATCCAGAAAGTTCCAAAAAAGTAAAATTTGAATTTTCCCAGGCACAGGGAACTATGTGTATAGCATTTACACTGTATTAAGTATTGTAAGTAATCTAGAGGTGATTTAAGGTATACAAGAGGACATGAGTGTGTAGGTTATATGCAAATACAATGCCATTTTATATATAAGGGACTCCAGAATCCAAAGATTTTGTTATCCACGGGGGTGGAGGGGGGCGGGGGAGTGCAGGGGGTGTTCCTGGAAACAATCCCCAGAGGATACTGAGGGGCAACTGGGTTTTTGCAGGACCCTAATTGGTTCTATCCTCTACAGAAGCATTTGTAAAGTGTAAAACCCTGCCCAGAGGCCAGAAATCACTAGGCCATCAACTCTTTAAATAGAGTCTCATTCATCTTATTTTCTGAGTACCTAGTGAGAGTTAAATCAAGACTTGCGGAATTCCAGCATTGTAGCTCCACATCTGCCACTGGCTATGAGTGGGAAAGTCATTTCCACGCTCTGGGCCTGTTTCTTCCTTTCACAGAGTGAAAGACTTCCTCCAGATTGACATTTCATGACCAAGGGTACTTCAAGGATGGAAAAAATGAAGCACACCTGGGATCCTATTTCCATTAAGCAAAAAAAGGGGAGGCTGCACGTGTGAGTTTGCAAATGCACAGGAAAAATGTCTGGAAGACCATCCTCAAACTCTTTACAGGATGCAAAGAGAAAAGCCATGGGGTCGGGGGGAGTGGGGGAAATAAAGAACTTTTACATTAAAAAATAAATCTAAATTATGTCCACGTTGTTTAATTTTTACAAGATAATTTAATACTTTTGTGATTATAAAAGAAGGAGAAACAAAAACCAAACCTGGACTCTTTAGAAGAGGGCAGCTCCCGTCAGCGAAGGGCTGACCCCTCCAACGGGGCAGTCCCTCCTTCAAGACTGCTGTCAGCATGTGCTCTGCTGAGTAAGGACTTGGGACCCACTTGGCCCCCTGAGAGACTTGGGGAGGAACCATGGGCGAGTTCACTCTGTTCTTGCTTTACCAGCCCCTTCAAGGCCACTTCCATGGCTTTCCCTGAACTTTGGTCCTCTCCTCACCATCTCTGCCCAAAAGCAGCGGGCAGCATAGCATTAGAGGACACAATGCTGGGCATTTCCTTCACAAGTAATGATTTTTCGAAAAGTCAGGAACCCTGATCAGATTCCACTTCACCCTTCCCCTCCCCGATCCTAACCCTGGATACCTGAGGACCTGTCCCCTGTTCCCTGCCCATAATCCCCAGACATCTGGCTACTTTCCTCGTCACCCCGCAAAAAGCACTGCTCCTGTCACTTGAAGACCTGAGATTCCTTAGAGAGACATATTTAAGTGAGGATTTCTGGAGACAATGCTCCCAGGCCCTGAGAGAGAATTCGCCATCAACTACACAGGTTTGTTTTTTGTTTTTTTTTTTTTAACTACACGGGTTTTGAAGTGGCCTCCTAACCCCATAAAGCAACATAAAACTGTCTGCTTCCATCCTGCACACTTGGAACCCCACCACACCCTCATCCATCTCTCTCCACTCACAATTTGTGTCCAGGTATAAGTCCCCCCAGACTTAGGCCTCTTAGGGGTAAGACTCTTATTTTTGTAAACCCCCCATTTCCAGCACACAGTAGACATTTGATACTTGTCTTCACCAAAAGCAACAGCACTGCAATCGCCCAATAAACATGCAGCAGGGGTCAAGAGCATGGGCTTTGGGTTGAACACACCCGGGTTTGTATTGCCTCTGGTGATTACGTTATATAACCTTGAGCAAATGTTTTCATCTGTAAAAAAATCAGTACCTG